TAAATGTCATCTGATGAAGTTTCGGTCTAGGAAGAATAATAGAACCTGAATGTGAGACTTATTTCATATGTGAAAAGAGAAGGAACAACCTAATTATTAAAGGGAACAAACAGTTTATATATACAAATGTAGTGAAACCTTGAAATATATGAAAGAAAGAAAGAATCGAAAAGAACTACATAGTAGATGTAGTAAAAGCACTAGTAGGGAAAATTTTAACATACACTAAAAAGTAATGACGAAAAAAATCGCCAAACTGAACTATCACTACACCAACATAAAAATTCTAAATGTTTCAACTAATCATCTAATTATTATATTATTAAAACATACTAAAGTATTTCTTATATCAAACTATTATTATTAAATGAGAACTTATTCATAATCAACAAGTCTCATTAAAAGATCAGTCTCTTTTTTCTTTGCATTGGATATGCAATAAGTATACATTAGATTTTCCATACTACTTACAAATAGAAATATTCTAGATTAATTCCAATCTAATCCACACATGGAAAGTTCAGTTTGTGTGAGCTGATCTATTCTAATAGTCTCTTGAATAGTTTATCTGACCTTTTGGATATTGAATTATCTTAAGTATACTAAGTACTTACCCTGGAAGTCAATGATCTAACAGTTCCTCAGACATAAAATTAGTAACAATTCATTTCAAATTGACTTTATGTTAAAATATTCGAAAACAATTCTTTCTTTCCCATTCACTATAATAGTTCATAAGATGCTCGTTGAAAAAGAAACAACACTAAAAAGACAATAGCACTGTGAGAGAGAGAGAGACTTAAAATGAACAATTATTGGTTTAGCTAAGCACACAGAGTGTTGAGACGAACTGTTAGTCACCACCACACTTTTACTGTCTTTCGTCTTCATAATGGACTAATATACGACGTGTCATTGCCAGCAATAAAACAGTTCAAGTCAGTTTCCTTTTGTTTTTATTAAATTGCTCAATAGATATCAGTTATTAAGCATATTTAAATGTTGCGGTCTTTGAGAATCATCGTTTGAGTGATATTATATCTCTTGACAATAAAGAAGCTATCAATTACTTGAACTATAGACCTCAATTGTTGATTAATTCATCATAACATTCAATGTCAATTTTAAATTCATAGAAAATTAAAAAGCTGACAACAGAAAATATCCTTCAGCTGTCAGAGGAAGTTTATTCCCATATTTTGATATTTTTTTTCGTTTACATTAATCATTTTCACATGCACATTCTAATGAGAAAAAAAAGTACAAACTCGAAAAGTAAATACCTATGATCACTGAATGATCAGAATATATAATTGGTCACATTTACCTATTTCTAATACACAAATTTTATTCTGAACACAGTATAGACGATAAAGCGATATACACCATTTGTATGTATATTTAACCTGATATAAGAGAAGAACAAAGAATTTAAACAATTCAATTTTCTCTTTCTCTCTCAGATTGTTAAAAAGAAAAAGAGATGAAGTTATTTTTGTATATATGTGGCTTTCAAAAATGGAATAAAAGCGGTAAGTGATATGTATCATTTGTTATTTAACTATGTCATTTATATTTAATAAAAAAGAGAGATGATTTCAAGCCATAAAAAACAACATAATGTCTCATCCTCACTAAAGCAAAGAAAAAGCTTGACTATAAAATGAAAAATAAACATAAAATTCAATGAAATAGAACAAAATATACTTAACTTCGGTAAGATTTAACGGTGTCTCTCTTTCCTTGATGGATTAACTACTTATACTGTATCTCTATTTGTTAGCTATAACAACAAGACACAAGATTTTTTTTTTAAAACTAATTGCTCTTGTCCCTTTTGTTAATGATAGTCATTCGAATAGGACGAGAGAAAGAAAAAAAAAGCGATCGATATATTTGACCAATCGGCTGTGTGTTTCCTTCTTTCGTTCTCTCTCTGATTTCACAAAAATTGATAAGAATAAAAATTAATAAATTTTCTTCTTCTTCTTCTTCTTCTTCTAATCTTGCTTATGTACGTTGTTATATAGCATCAAAACCACCTTATTGTTATATATTATTAATCGTTTATGCAATAACAAATTCGCTAGAACGTATGTGTACATTATCTGAAATTTATCAATATATTCAAGATCATTATACATATTATCGATAAAATGAACAGCTTTGGCAAAATTTCATTCGTCATTCATTATCATTTAATGATTGGTTTGTTAAAGTTCCACGTAGTGCTGATCGTCTAGGTAAAGCTTCATATTGGATATTACATTCCGATAGTGAAAGTATGTTTGAAAATGGTTATTACTTACGACAACAAAATAAAAGATAAAAATAATAATAAAACTAATTAATCATCAACTCAATCAAATCATAGATAAAAAAATTTGATTTACCCGGTTCATCAGCACAGCAAGCAACGACACTATCACAACAATATTATTATCATTATAAAATTGAATATCTATCAATCATATATACACATCAAACATACCATCTAAATAATAATGCTTTACAATATGACCATAATTAACAATATTTTTTACATAAAATATCTCCATTAAATACATTTCATATTGATAATCTTATTAAGTATGAAACGACAAATCATATTCTCGATAGAACAAATAATAATTATTATTATTATCCAAATTCATCATAAGTTAATCTAGTTTCGTCTTTTAAATAAGACTAAATATAATCAGTGTTTTTTTCGTTTATATATCAATATCTGCCATTTCTTATTCTCAACATCAAAAAACATGTTTGTCAAAAAAAAAAATTTAATTAATCTCTTTTCTTTATTTTTTATTGATCAGTCAGCCAATTCCAATAAGATGCACGTTCAGTAAATATTCAAGATTATACTTGTGTTAAAAACAGTTACAAATGAGAGAATATCACATCTACTTGTTGAAAACATCTAATTGAGAATTTATCTCTTGTTTAATCAATTGAATAAAGAATCTGTTCAATGAGAAAAAACTCTTTCGTCTTTTAGCAAATATTTGTTCCTTATTACATGCAGACATACAAGAAAAATTTTGTTTTACAATTTGTTCGATTTGTTTGTCTCTCTCAATGAGACATCTTATTTGCAATAAAAAAAACTTTAGTAATGATGAGACGTATCTGCAGAGAATCTCTCTCTCGTTCACTACTTGTTCGTATAATTGTTAATACTGACACATACAACACTATACGATAAGTAGAAATGAAAATTTGTATTCTTCTTTTGGATAGTTCCTTTTTTCTTATTTATATAAATCATTAATGAAACATCAATATAAAGGTAATTGGAAATGGATATTAGAATTGCAAATGTAAAGTATGTAGAAATAATCAAAGATTATTGTTTACTATTATCTCAATATCAATCTTCAGAATATATCTCCTTCAATCCGATACGACTTTTTTAATATTTTCGTTTCATTTGTCAAGAAAGTTCATATAAAAAGACAAAAAATGCTTGTGTTTTTTTTGACGAATCATATAACGAGATTTTTCAAAAAATATATCACAAAAAAAGATTGTCTGTCTGTGTCTTAACCTTCTTTTTTTTCATATTTTCTCTCCTAATTTATTCAGATAAGAAATCAAACCTTCCATCTCTTTTTTTCTCTCTTCTACTTTTTTTTTTGCGTGAGTCAAGCTTTTCTTGATGATCTGTGTAACTTGAATGCATGTTACAATGACGATATTTTTTTGACGAAACAACACGTATGTACTCTCAATTTCTTGCCCGTGCTGTTTCTTTGGCTCTTACTTTTCTTTAATAGTTGAGTGTAATCCTTCAACAAGAAAGAAAATCTGATTCGTCTATCGGATGCATATATACAGCAAAATGTCGTTCTATAGAGAGAAAAGAAGCAGAAGAGATTTTGATCATATTATTATGACGATAGCCAAGAGAAGAAATAAAAAAAAGAACACGATAGAGAGAGAAAAAGGAGAAGCAAGAAACATAAAAAGCAGACTTTTTAACTGATAAATTCATTTCCGTTTTTCTTTTTCTTGTACTTAACGGAGATTTGTTGCGTTTTTTTCGTGGTGTTATCGTTACTGTCAAAAATTTGTTTGTATTATAATTAAAATATACACAATCAAGCTAGTTATTCTATTAATTTGTAAATAAGGATCATATAATGGTCAACATGAGTGAGGATCTATCAATTTAAATATTTGTTAACTTAGTACCTTCTCAAAAAGAAAAAATGCAATCATGAAACTAGTACTGGTGATGAATCAACATTATCGTCATCATCATCAAACAATACAATATCAGAATTTAAGCCTAAATTTGATGAATCGGTTGGATTTCAACCACGGCAACGACTACCAAGTAATCCAATTGTTAGTCAATAACAATTAGATAATGCAACTCTTGTACTTGTACAATCTTTATCAACAACCAAAAATTGAATCCGAGTCATCAGCAATAAATTATTATAATAATTCATCAAATAATATGTTAACAGCATCATCTTATGATTTAAATAATTCTGTTGAAAAAGTAAACATTGATTTAATTTCATCTATACAAGGTCAATTATCAACTACAACAGTTGGAACTAATCATCGTGGCAATACACCATCAAAACCTCCGTATTCTTATATAAGTCTTATTACAATGGCTATTCAACATGCACCAACAGAAATGGTTACATGAAATGATATATATCAATTTATAATGACTGTTTTTCCATATTATCAACAAAATCAACAACGTTTTCGTTTTGTTTGTTTCTTCTATGATTGGTATGAAAACTGTGAATCGATAAAAAAATTATGAAAATTAATTCATAACAGTATTATACCAATAAAGAGTATGCAGCACTAAAATCTTGTAAGATTACTTAAGAAATTGATCGTGACTGCGGCAAAAGAAGATGAACAATATTAATAATATATTTTAATTATAATAAAGAAAAACACGATTACCAAAAAAAAAATTTTCTCATATAAATTCAGTTAGGAAAATTCTAATTTCTATTGAATATGTTTTAATCGAAATGATATTTAAAAGAAAATGTTTTTCTTGTAGATTTTTCTTTGAAATAAATATCATTAAAAGATAAATGATATTTATTAAATAACTGATGAACAATCATAATTGAATCACCTATCAATGAAAAACAAAAAAAAACGTTTTCTCAAATTGAATCAACAAGAGTATTTACCTTGTGTATTAGTTGGATAATTTTTGATATCTAACATAAAAAATGGTAATTCAGCTTCAAGAAATAGACGTTCACCTAAAAGATTTGAATCTATTGGATGACCCTAAAATAATTCTAAATTATTAAAAATAATTAATAAAAATAATGAAAATAATACTTGAATAAGACTTTGAATAACAACATCAAAGAAAACATACCATCGTTGAGCATAATAACTAAAAAAGAAAAAAAAATCTGAAAATATTATTAATCTAATGTTTGATAACATACTTTTGAATCATTCCTGACCAAAATTTATTTGCATAATCATACAAATCTAATGTATAATTGTTTCCCCAAATTGATACTTGAAGTTTGGCATTAAAATTATAAAAATGAATACTTTCTTCAGTTTTTGCAAATTGTAATGCATCTCGAATCCAATTTCCTAATAAAAACCGACGATCAGAAGCTAATACTAATTCAGTATCTGATAGTATATCAACAAGAATAGCCGCTTGAGTACTAAAAATATATCAATCGATTTCTAGTACAACAAAAAAAAACTAATATTTTTTTTTGCTAACAGACCTAACACCATAAAGATCACTTTGATTATAAGCTGACATAAATTGAGTATAAACACTAAGAAATTTATATTGAAGAACTTCTTTAGTTATATCAACTAAATCATATCGAAATAAATCTGAATCAATTTCATTTGATGCATCAACTAATAACTCCCATGCTAACAATAAAGATTTTATATCAAAATTGATCTATGAAAC